AAACGTGAAAAAAGTCGGAATCGTTGATACAAATATTTCTTAATTTTCTGAAAAAAACGAACTAATCAATCAAAAAAATTCCATAAAATCACTCATCACACATTATTTAGTGAATTCAACTGGAATCAACGCAAAACAGCCTATGAATCTCATCGTTACAGCACTTTTCTAAACATCGCCTTTCCAATTGATCCATCAAGCAAAATCGCTCACAAAACAAGTTTTTTGCACGAAAATTTGTCTCACAAGACAATGAAATCAAAAATGAATTCTGTATTAAGATTTTCAAGAAAAATATCACACATCGCACTCATGAATTGTGAAAATTTACAAATAATATCATATGAGTGCAGAAAAATGTTCATAACGTTAATAAATCACCCGATCATTCGCAAATACACTGAAACAGTTCTTGGCAATCAAATGCGCGTCACGTTTCTCATCAAAACCGAAATCGAACTTCAACTTCTCGTCCATCGATAGCAACCGCTCTTCGTCATCCTCTCCATCTTGATGATCATCTTTTCGATCGTTTTCAATCATCTAGAGATTATCAATCCGTGGAAGCAACTTTCTGTTTCGTATCAAGATAGTAACAAACAATATGCACAAATAACAACAATTATAAAAACAATTAAAGATTCAGGAACTGAATCGATAAATAATACTATGAATAGGCTAACGATGAATAAAAACTATCGATGATAAAAGTTCCATAAATGACCTGAAACGACTAATATTACGGCAACTCGCCCATTTTCGACCTACTTCTAGTTTCAGCATCAACACTCAACGAATTCAGAAGAGAAAAAGCAGCAGGCAAATTCCAGAGGAATAGAAGAAGCCTGAGTCCTTAGCTAGACACTGTGCTACGTTCGGAATTCGTCATGAATGTGGTATGACATACAGTCGTCGCATAGAATTGCCAACAATTTTCAGTTCTATCAAACTGTTTTCATCAGATGTTCAATTGAATGAAAGAATAAATAATGAACGAACGACGGAAAAATACAAAACAAAAAAATCGCTCATATTTCCATCAAAACATCACAACAATGAAAACGCTTTTACAATCATTATAATTGTTGTCATGCAACTAATATGATTCATTCAGTTACACGAAATATCCGACATTAAAAAATGTGTTGCGTGGGTGATGCATCAGTTTGCTCTATTGTTGAAAACCCTTTGATCGCTTCATTTCACATCAAAATTTTCATTTATGCAGATGAAAATAAAACAATTTGAAAGAAAAAATTTTGTGAGTACACGAAACTTTTCGTAAAGCAGAAATAACTAGCAGACACCATAAATTTGCATACAACATAAATTTTGATAAATTTGCATACAACNTTTTGATAAATTTGCATACAACACCATATAGTTCCAATATTATTTTACTCGAAATTAAGATTTACTTTTTTTTAAATCAGCATCATAATCAATGTGATTATGTCATTATATTAATTAGTATCAATAAATTCACTTAAACTAAATCTGCAAATAAAATTCGGAATCGCAATGAAACACTCTCACTATCAGAGAAAATTCCAAAGAATTGAAATGAGCAATTCAATGGAACCAACAATAAATACCTCATCGTCATTGCTCGAGAACGGTTGATGAGCATTTGCTTCACTGAATGATGCCTTAGAAGTGTGGACAGTCGGTTTCTGCTGATTCGATGAATACGAGGGTTCAGCATAGAAATCCGCATAAACATCATCGAACATCTCCATATCGCCATAACTAAAACTCTCAGTTCAACGATTTGTTTCGCGTACTCGCATACTACCCGCTACTAGCCACCCTAATATTCCACTTCATTGAAAATTTCATATCATAATAAATACAGTCTCTCCTCAGCTACCATCAACACTCCGCTGCAAAAACCCTATGATAGTTATCCATTTGTTAGTCTAACAAGCGACAATGTAAATTTCGTTAGCAACTGAAATTTGTATGTAAAGCGATCACACCAGAACATCAAACCAAATTCATAAATACGCAGTCAGATTAATTACCACTAATTACCAAGTTATTACGGCATGCTAACTTGGTAATTAATTAATTACCAAGTTAGCTGCACCGACTCGATGCAGCTAACTGAATATGCTTGCTCACTTCCCACAGCATCACAATCCACCCATCTCAAAATCTCCCTAAAGAAGACTTTTCAGTCAAGATTCGCCGTACCTAACTAAACTCCTTTCCAGTAATTTCTTCTTCCTCGTTGGCTGCACTTGCTCCTTTTCATCACCACTTATTGGAGCATCTTCAACCACCACACCACTAGAGCGTGACATTTTAATCGCTGGATCATTTGACATTTTCGTGCTGTTATCACAACAGTTCGCTTCTGACTCATTAACCATCTCATAACCAGGAACAAATTTCAGAGCTGTTATCTGAAATTAAACTTCTTTTACGGTAATTTTCAGTTTAAAAACTCAATCAATCAAGTATCGAAGCTTTGAAGACTTTCACATCAAAATGTGCGTCTTGTACCTTAGTTCAATAACGTCAAACGGATGGATTTCGCCCAGATTTGAATCGAGCGTAAACTGAACATCGATGCTAACGCCTATATTTTTCCATTTCAAATTCTCAAATCCTCAAGCAGCCGTCGAAAAGCTTTTCAATCCCAACCAACCGCCTCATACAACTTCGCCAGTCAGCAATGCGACGAGACTGATTTAAAGTACCGTTTCGATGAATTGTTTACAACGGCTCAATGCACTCTGTTGTTGTAATCGCTCGAAATCTTCTTTGGTTTTCGCCTTCACAAGTTCACAATGTCGTTGGTATAATTCCTCCCATGTTGTGAATTCTTTTGTTGGCTCTTTCGAGTAGACAATATTCGTATAATCCTACAACTTTGGGCGAAATATTTTTTAAGTAAAGCCACAAATGCTAATTTCAAACATACACAAGCAACAGGCAACTGAATCACAACCAATAAACATTTTCCAAGGACAACAAAACAGAGTGATCAATCAAACGACTAATTGATCAACCTTTAAGCTACGATGACATTCCAGCAAATTGTTCGGCTTACATTCCAATGTTCTCGCCATTTGTTCCTCCCTCACTTTCTCATCCATTTGAGTTCCTGTAGAAGTTCATCAGATAAACAAATAAACATGAAATAATATTTCTGATTTGAGGGAAACTTCAACGAAAAACAAACAAAACGGGACAATTCATCAAGAATCATCGAGTTTTCAACAATTATGAACAATTGAGATTGTCACTTGTTACTTGGTCATCGAATGGTTGTTTTGTAGATCGCTGTGAGCGATCGGTGGAATATTTATTTCATTAGAGTTACATTATTTATTGGATCGGTATTTGGTTGCGTTTAATCATGCAAAGTATTCACGGCAACTAATCAATCACTTGGTTGTATTCGAGTGGCCTGCTCGCCTAGCCATCGGGGTGGCGTCAATAAAGGCTTAAACAGTGGGAACGGAAACGTGAGCACTGAGGCCAGCAACGTTGCAAACGTTTGATAGCCTGGCCAATCCGTAATGAACAATGGAATGATGAAAATTTGCATTCAAATAGTGATTGATAAAACAGACCAAAATCATTAAGCCATGTCATATTCGTCATGTATTCACCAGTTAAACTCCAATAGTTCTCAAAGTCCAGTCCAATCATCCAATTGTCACTAGTATTAACGCATTCGGTGGCTGCTTTCTTTCGTTTACGTTTACCTTTCTTCTTCTTCTCAGCACTTGGAGGCTTCGAGAATTCCATTGGAAGACCCATTGAAGCCATTTCTGCGATTAGAATAATCTCATATTCATATCTCAAATTCCTCAATCCAATTCTCACTCTGTCAACTATTTTGGAAGCAGATGATCATGCATCCCATCGAAGGATTCGGTTTTCGAAAGTATTCAACGCCTATTTTGGCACACATATTTGTTTCTACTTATAAGGACGATGCACTAATCGACTGCGCTGATGGGACACAAGAAAATTATCCAAGTGATTTGCTTTTTTTACGTGAATAGATAAAATATTTGAGAAAGTGTACGGATTCTCATTCTATTAACTATTGAATTCAATGAACAACTACAATTTCTACGTAAAATTCCCTTTCAAAAGGAGAGATTTTCGCAGTTTTCGCAGAAATAAAGCTAGGGTTGAATTACACACCATCCTGTTGCAATTCTGTGACTGCCGACTGATCCTCAGTATCAAATGCGGGTAAATCACTGATCGACGATTTTCTTTCAGCACAAATGGCAGCATTCGGTTGATAATAAGCAGCAGAAGACGATTCATCTCCTTGCTTAATATCAATGTTGTTTGCGGTCAATTTAGGTTTGGAAGTTTTCATGTGCTGATGACCGAAGTTAATTTTTTGCTCGAATAATTTGCACAAAGAATCTTTTTCAGCATCTTTCCCAGCTGCCAATGGCGGCTGTCTTCGCTCACTCGCTTTCATCAGTTGGTAGTCTCTGCAAAATTCTCACTGATTTCGAATCACAAACTGTTCGTTTGATTTCAAACAGAGTTTTGAATTCATATTCCAAATGAGATGCGATTTCGAATGAAATTCTCGTAAACATCTTGAATCTCTTTATCTTGTTTAGCCAGAATTTCTCATCTTCCAATCTATATTTGACTGTGGCGTTGTTTTTGTGCATCTATGAGGATCTCAAACCAAATTAATATCCGTTTACTTGAAATGGATGAATAAAATAGCCAAAAATAATCCAAATGAACAACAATTAAGTGAACAGACAAGAAATTCAATTGTATTGAAAAGAATATAAAGCAATGATCAACAGCAACAGTAGAAGTATCACTCACTTTAATATGGCACGAGAGAATGCACAATA